AGCAAGAAAGCCATCAGGCTGTGCTTCTGGTGTCACAGTTAGTTGTAATGCCCACATGAAATGGCTTTGTTTTGGGCCACGGCCTCACCCACCCTTTGCACACATACTGGATTTGTCTGAAGTCCACGTTAGGTTTTTTTTTTTTTTACTGTTTTTCAGATGCTAGTAGTGAATCATGGTTGAAGATCCTTTAAAATATCTACTCACAGATAAGTTTCATCCTTGAAGCAAACCCAGGAGACAGGCAAAGGCAGACCAGCGGGCTCGAATCCTGCCTTGGCAGTCAGGGATAGAAACTGTGTGTGTCTGTTCCTCGGGCTTCGGAATATCTGGGCACAGACACCCTACAAGTGTGTTGGGGGGTTGGGGTGGGGAGTGAGGCACGTCCAAGAGATATCTAGAAATTTCCAAGTATACATCACCTCTTCCAGATCCACTTTAAGGTCATTCAGCTGAGCTCTGTACCACTCGAAGCTCTGTGCTAGGTGTTCGGGAGAGAAAGGGATAACGAAGGGTTTAGATTGAGGAAACCTGTGTTTGGCTTTAGTAAACTTACACTAAACTATGACTTACACAATCCACATAAAATACAGCCCACGAGCTCAGTGCCACATTGCCCTATGCACTCTTAGGCCTGCTCCTGCCTCAGCGCATTACACCTTGCTGTCCTTCTCTCTATGCCCCCTATCTGCTACTCCTTCACCTCTTGCAGCCTTCTATCTGAGACCTTCCCCGACACATCCTTTAAACCCCACTCCCAACCCCAGCCCTCTTCCCTCTGTCTGTCATTCTCTTCTGTGTTAGCGTGATTGGCTGACTTGTTTTTCTGCCAGTGCTTACAGCAGTTCCTAGTAGGCACTCATTACATGTTTATAGAGTTAATGAGTGATCAAATTAATTAATTTCAGGATCGAGGGGGGCCATGTGCAGCGCTCCAGTAGCCAGAGGTCCAGAAGATATGTGTGCTGGGTTCCACTCGTCACAAACCAAGAGGCTTAGAACAATGCAGACTTTTATTTTACTCTTCTCTAGGTCAGAAGCCTGACTCTATCTCACTGCATGAGAATCAAGGCATTGGCAAGGCTGCCTTCCTTCCCACTAGCCGCAAATGAGAGTCTACTTGCGTGCTTTTCCAGTCTCTCGGGCAGCTTATATTCCTTGACTTGTTCAATTTGCCGTCTTTAAAGCCAGCACCTGTTCCCAGTGGGCTGGGGTGTGCAGAAGTAAGCAGCCACTTCCCCTGCTGCCTCTTCAACCTGACCCTACACACACTCACACACACACACACTCACACACACTCACACACAAACATACACACATACACACACACACTCACACAGAAACATACACACATACACACACTCACACACACACACTCACATACACACACAAACATATACTCATACACACATACACACACATACACTCACACACAAACATACACACACACACACACACACACACACACACACACACTGGCTTTCTCTTCAGCATCTCTCCTACTTTTGAAGGTTACCATAATTATATTGGATAATCTGGAATGGTTTGTGGTTTCATAATCATCTGTAAAGAACTCAATCCCGTCGACAACTCAGTGTCCTCTGCCAGGTAATCTAGTACTACAGGTTCTGGGCAATCAGGAAGTGAGATCTACTATTTGTCCACTAGAGGAATTGGCAAGCAAGATATTTTCTTTAGAGCAGTAGTTCTCAACCTGTGGGTTGTAACTCCTTTGGCAAATCTCTATCTCCAAAAATATTTGCTTTATGATTCATAAAAGTAGCAAAATTACAGTTATGAAGTAGCAATGAAAATAATTTTACAGTTGGGGAGGTTCACCACAGCATGAAGAACTATGTTAAAGGGTCGCACCATTAGGAAAGTTGAGAACCACTGCCTTAGAGCCTAGGACTGAACTACCATTTAATAAGTATAAAACAGGCACATTTAATCAAGGATGACTGTGGCCCCTGAAGTGGGGGGATGAGATGGTCAATCCGAGACTTTAGGAGATGAACATGAACTTAGAGCAGGAATGTAGAGGGAGATTGATGTACACCTCTCCACAGAGATTTGCTCCCTCTGTCCTTTCTGTGTACACAAAGAGCTGGGTCTGCCTGTCCATGTGTGGGTTCCTTTTCAAAGGAACCTTCTGTTGTGTGTGCACATAGCACAGACAACAGGTAAAGCCCTGGTTTGCAGACCATGGCACTCACTTCCGTGTGCACACCATCTACCTCAGCTGCACATGGGACCTTGTTCTCTTGGTCTTCACTGCCTTCATTTTTTTCCTGACCCTAACACCTGAATGATGTATATCTTCCCACTGGCAACACAGAACTTATTCCCACAATGGTTCTCACAGGGATTGGTCTGTCCCTGAGGAAGCACATTGAGAGTTTCCAGGAAGATGCTGGCCCTTCACCTTGACTATCCCCCACTCTTGCCATGACTCAGCATCCTCCATACCTCCTCCTGGACACCACACAGAGCAATGTGAATACTGAATGATGGATCGAGTGGTGTCCGAGGTGTGCTACTATCCTCTGATTGGCCTCTTTGCCGCAGCACTGTCCCACAGACATCCCATGGGTGTCACTGTCTGGTGTGCTGTCCAGTGGGCACCTCTTGAAAGGTGGTGAGTATGGCTGAGGAGCTGGGCATTTTGCTGCATGCAGTTTTAAGCAACTTAAGTTGGAATAGTCACACGTGACAAGAACCTACTCTGTTAAATGATGTAAGGAAGTAACAGCTTGTTGAACATGTCAGAGAGGCCACAGCGGGAGAGGAGGACATGATGAGAACACAGCCTTTGGGGATCAGACCACTTCAGCTTTGCTTCCATCATTTTGTGTGGTTTAATTTTTGTTGTTGTTGTTTGATTTTTGGGGTTTTGTTTGTTTGTTTGCTTTGGCGAATCATGTGTTTTTGAGTTGAATTTCGGATTCAAAACTTTTCTTTGGAGTACTGGGTGTGCAGGGGTTGGGGGTGGGGAATAGCAGGTACCATGTGACCTAACATGGAATACTGGGTATGCAGGGATTAGAGGTGGGCAGTGATACCAGACTTTTTTCCTCTTGCTTTTATAAGTACTTTCCAGTATCTTAAAAGCCAGGGGGACTTCACTGTCTGGCCCAGGGTGTAGACTATGTCCACGTCCCACCCATGAATACACCAGGGATGGCCTTGCCTATTTAAGAGCTGCTTGAAGATAAAATAGGACAGTATTGGTAACACAGCACAGTGCCACATACCTGCCTGGTACCCAGCGCTCAGCTGTGTGCTGGGGCACATTGGTAAGCTGGAAACATGGAAGACTTGAGTGTGAACTAAGATCACACATTTAATACATGACAGCTCATCATCTTGATGGACTTTTTCCTTCATTTGTTTTACATTTAAAAAAATTATTAAAATGTGAAAAAATTAATGTTAATATATTTTCTTCTCCCTAATTTTTTGTGAAAGTTGGGATTGGTCAACATGAGTGTAGCAGACTTGCCTTTCTTTGTCTTCGCTGTGTTGATGAGCCGTGCTGAGTTACTGTGTGTGTGTGACTGTGTGAAGTTGTACACATATCTGAGTACCGGTGTCCTGGGAGCCCAGAAGAGGCAGTGAATCACCCGGAGTTGGCAGAGATTCTGGGATCCAAGCTCAAGTCCTTTAGATGGTCCTCTGGACCATCCAGCCCTCAAGTAACAGCTTTATTTTAAAAGTCTCTCTCTCTTACACTTTCCTCAAAAACAGATTTGTTGACTCATAATTCACGAATTACTCTATTCACTGGGCTTACAACATATGGATCTGTGGGCTTTACTCTCTTCATAGAGTTGTCCAGCCAGCGTCACGGTCGGTTCCAGAACAGTTTTATCATCCCTGAAGGCATCCCAACCACTAGCAGTCACTCCCCAGTTCCTCTAATTGACCTAGCCTAGCCCCAATCAACCACCAGTTTGCCTTCTATGGATTTCCCAGTCTGGTCATTTCATATGAATGGAATCATGTCTTTTAAGAGTCTTTAATTATATTTTTATTTTATTTTATTTGAGAGAGATAGAGATAGAGATAGAGATAGAGAGATAGAGATAGAGAGAGAGAGAGAGAGAGAGAGAGAGAGAGAGAGAGAGAGAGAGAATGCATGCTATGGAAGATATGGGGAGATCAGAGGGCAACTTCTAAGGGTTAGTTCTTCCCATCTCCCATATGGGTCGCAAGGCCATCAAGTGTGGCAGCATCCACCTTTAAACACTGAGCCATGTCACCAGCCTAAAATGACTGGCTCCTTTCACTCAGAGTAGTGTTTTTCGGTTCATCATATACTTATAGCATATACTAATACTTTGTTAATTTTATTATGAGTAGTAGTCTGTCATACTGTCTTTATTTGTCTGCCTGTTATCACACGATGGACATTTCCGTTGCATCCTTTTTAGCCATTATGGATATTTATGCACACATTTTTGTTGAACATGTACTCATTTCTCATGGTTGCCAGTCTAGGGAGTAGAACTGAGATGATAGCACGCTGTTGGTAATGTGGCATTTCTGGGTTTTGTTAGAAGCTTCATAGCAAACAAGCCAGCAGACATCAGCTAGGTGGGCCATGTGGGTGCTTCATCACACGTTTTCTTGGCATAAAGTTAAGGAATACAGATAGCTTGACTGCTTGAGGAGCTGAAAAGCCCATTTTTCAAAGTCATGCCACTCGCTGTACACTTCCACCTGTGGAGTACCAGCCCCCAGCTCTTCTACATTCCTAATGACACCTCCTGTTCCTTGCTCCTCTGTAGCAAGTCAGGGCTGTGTTGCTGGGCAGGAGGTGGCATCTCACTGTGGCTTTGGATTGAATTTCCCTGATGATTAATGGTGCTGAGTGTGTTTTCGTGTGCTGGTAGGCCACCTGTTTGACTTTCTTGGAGAAATGTCTGTTCAAATCCTTTGCCCATGTTTTAATTGGACCATTTGTCTTTTTTGCCCGTCTCCCCATTTGGCCCGAGCAGGATGCTGATATGCTAACGGGTGACGAGCAAATATGGAAGGAGGTTCAAGAATCGCTGAAAAAAATCGAAGAGCTGAAGGCGCACTGGAGTATCCTTCCACCTGCAAGCCGAGCTACACTGCTGGTTGCGGCTTTACCATAGTGTGGAGCAGTCAGTCGAGCCAAGGCAAGGTCTGAAAGTGCAAGTGCTGTATCTGGGCCCAGCTAGCAGTGTGGGGAGTGGCCCAGTGGTGTTGAGCAGCCATAGTAAGGTCAGCATAGATGCCCTACAAGTACCCCACCATCGGTTAATAGTATGGCCCAGGAATAATAGGGAGGTAAGCTGTAGGTGTTTTGTTTTCTCTTCCTCCTCCTCTTCTTCCTTCTCCTCCTCTTCCTCCTCCTCCTCCTCCTCTTCCTCCTCCTCCTCCTCCTTTTCCTACTCTGTGTGCAAAAGGTAAAACTCATAGACCCCTTTCTCCTATAACCACTTTAGTCTCTGGAAAGGAATGTGTGAATCCTTATAATTCAATACCATTGACCCTCAGACATACAAACAGGAAACAGCAGCAGTGGGGTTCTTCATTATACATTTTCTTGGCATAAATGATAAGGAACATGAATAGGTCAAAGTTCAGAATAGAGAGAGACAGCATGTGATGGGATCATCTTGGATGCCTCACTGGTACTTTACTGTGTAAAGGAACTCCCAAGTCAGGGACAGGATTCTGAGAGACAGAAGCTGAGACAGACAGAAGGCACTGTCCATAGAGGATTCCACGTGGACACAGCATGATGGGGAACTGCACGTAAGAAAGAGACTTTAGAATATGGAAAGATCACCAGAGGGTCATCAGGCACTTTGGGCTGACCATATCCCAGGAAGGAATGAAATCTGCAAGTAAGGTATCCAATCAGTAATGTTAGAAAATTGTGAAGGACAGGGGAGATAGGTAGACAAGCGGTTCTTCTTTTAACAGTAAAATATGTAATTACAGAAATCAGTTGCTCAGTGAGTTTGTTAAGAGTCTGAGCAATGAACTTATAGTTGGTTGATAAGAAATAGAAAAAAAGGCTGCCATGTCCAAGCTGCTGTATGGCTTTACTTCTAGATGTAAAGTTTGCATCTAGATTTCATTAGAGAATTTGAAAAGAAGTAGTCAAGACATTTGGAGACTAGCAGATCTAGGCTTCTTACTCAATGATCAAGTGACACGAACGTTACTCGGGGAGGGGGGCTCTGTCTCCTCCACCTTTGATTCAGTACTTAAGAGACTTTTCAAGCATGTGAATAAATGGAAGGAAAGCACAGGAGAGAGAATAGAACCAAGAGCTCAGCAGATCCTTGGAAGTTTGAAAGGCTATTGAATTTCAGAAGATGATCTTCAACAAGAGTGTTGTATATAAAGTTTTCTATTTGGGGCAAGTAGTTGAAGCACATAAATCTGCAGCCAAACCCAGGAAAGAAACCTATCACTTTGTTAAATATCAAAATTTCATAAAGTGTACAAGTATGATATAACTCTCCAGAAACAACTGTGATCTTGGGCTGTAGTCATAGAAATTCAGAATATAAAATAAGAAAGGAGACGGCACAGGGCTGATCCTATGAAGAATCTCATAGCCATTCAGTCTGAGGTATGGCTTATTTGTCGGCCTGTAGAGAAACTAAGTTTGTTATGAGGAATGGAACAAAATTAAGGAGGAATTTGGAACTCCATCTGTCAGCTTGATGGAAGGCATTGAAAAACAGTTGGCTCTGGGTTGACATTCATAGACTCGGAGCTGCTGTACTTCCATGGAGTCTTGTTCTCTGTGGGCCTACTCAGAGAAGGCAGGCCATGGAGGCTCCTGGAGCCTTTTCAGTTTCACCTGGATGAGACTTACATAGAAACTGATTCTGCCAGGAATTTGAGTAGTCCTCATCCACCTTGTGATAGAGGCAGAAATTACAAGACACAACTCCCTCACAGTGGGATGGCAATTATGCAAATTACTAGGTGTTGTGGTTCATATTAGTAGTTCTCAAAGATCCATGTGTCAAAATCCCAGTGTGCCTCTAGTGAGGAGTATGGCTGACACGTAAGAGGTGAGGCCTACTGTTGCTGTGGATGATTATCGCTCAGTGGGCATCGTGTATTGCTTGCTACCTGCCCCAATGTCCTGGATTCCAGAATGAAAGATTTCTATTTTAATGTGCACTAAGCAGCTCAATGGCCAGGCCACTCCCAGACCTTCATGTGGCTAGCACACGTTCTCCTCTGATATTCCAGAATTATTTATTACTTCCTAAAATCTATATTCTATCTTTGCTGCCCTAGACTCAGTGTGTGTGTGTTGGGGGGGGTGCTGGGGCCATTCTTCCCAGGCTCTTACATGATTGGTATGCCTCTCTTCTGCAGCTCTCAAGCCTGGACCTTATTCCTTTCCTGGCTTGACCGTTCTAAATCCTCCTTCTCTGTCCCCTTCCGGCAATACCAAAGTCCCGCCTCTATCTCCCTGCCCAGCCATTGGCTGCTGGCAACTTTATTTACCAATCAGAACCAATTAGGGGCAGGAACCCTTAACGTGGGTGGGATTTTTGTGCAATTTTGGAAATCCAATTAACACAATACAAGCATTAACCTAAATCCACAACAACCTACTGGGAAGTCATTGAAAGGATGCCTTTAAGGGGACCATAAAGTCCTGTCATCTCTGCTTCTAGGCTTGAAATATGGACGCTTATTCTGACACCCACTCCCACCATGGCTGTCCAGTGCCCTCACTAGAGGGCACCCTTTAAACTTGGACTCGAGCCTCCATAACTCACAAGCCTATCTTTGCTTCATTTTGCATCGGATAGTTCATTATATCATGCAAAACAGAATAATGCAATACATATTAGAGTGAACATACATATACATACATACAGAGAGAAGGGGAGGGAGAGAGAGAGGAGAGAGACAGAGACAGGGATTAAGGCTTTTTAAAGGAGATGATTGAGTGTACTGTATCTAGGGAGGTGAGTTGGACTTCAGGCCAGCCATGAAGGAGAGCACCTCAGTGGATACACAGAGGTGACAGATGTGCTGTTGGCCAGCATGCCACCTATGAGGAAAGAAGCTACCAGGAATGGGCACAGAGTTTTTATGCGAGGCTGCCCAGAAGGATGCTAGGCTGAGTAGCATCACCAGATGCACACAGACCTTGCTCTGGAACCCTGTCTTAAGAAGTTGAACTCATTCCCAAGTGACTTCATTCCCATGTCTGTCTGTCTGTCCGTCCGTCTGTCCCCACTCTGCTATAGTGATTTAGAGCATTTGAAAGAAAGCCCCCATCCTGCACAGAGCTCAGCACTTCACTGGAACTAGTAGATGCCACAGGTGGCAAGGCAAAATCTGAGCATTAACTTAGGAAGAGACTTGTAGTTAAAATTGTTCCTCCCGCTGAACTTCCTGGAGTGGTTTTCATAAAAAGCCTTACCTTGTTTGCCAGGAGATGGTTGCCAGTATTGGGAGGGAGGTTGGTCTGAAGTCCTTTGCTTCTTGGTTGGGGGTGTAGATGTGTTCCTATGAGTGAGTACAGAACATCACATCTGGTTTCCACTTGCAAGGCATCCACCTCAGCCTCTTGATGAGGCAGAGCACATTATGGAAATGAGTAGACAAGTAACAATGGGGATCCGGCAAGCGATGTTACAACAAGGCTCAAACCTTGCCACAGAAATGTCTGGCATTGTGTAAGAGACAGCCGTGCCTCCTGACAGTTTGTCAAACATCTAATCCTGGAATGAAAAGCCACAGAGGTTAGCACGACAATCTGTTTCAAAATCAGCGTATTGCCTAAGAAACCACTTTCCCCCAACCTCTGGGGGATTCGCTCAGCAAACTTGAAACGTCCATGTCACACGAATACAAAGGAAAATCACCAACTGTCAATAACTTCAAATCACTGTCCTCAGTATATGAACCCCTTCTGGGATCAAAGCCAGGACTCACCCTAAGAGGTGACATAAAGGGCCCTCAGCTCCCCAAGGAAATGGTGCTCTGGAGTAAGGTGGCGTGCCTCAGCTGAGAGGAAACGTCTTTCCTGGGAGCTTCCCAGTTCCCAGGTGTGGCTTGGTTGCTAGAAGGACCCACTGATGGTGTTTTAGGAGCAGTGGAGAGGTAGATTTTGCTGGAGAGAGGAGTGAAGGAGCTTTGCACACATAGGCCCCAAGGTGAGGCTTGCTGAGTTAGGACACTGATGAAGAACACCTGAGTCAAAGTTTAGGGGAAGTGCGTGGAACGTGGAGTTGTGAAGAGACAGGAGCAGAGGAGAAATGACTCCATCTTCCATCCTCTTCTCTTCAGCTTCTCAGGCTCAGGGGTTGTGACTGGAAGAAAAAAGAAAGGCAGTCACATCTCTGCCTTATGCTCTGTGTACCCCAGTCAACTTTCCAGCCATAATTATGATACCCAAAGAACACCACCTATCTCATGAGAAGACACGAAAAGATTTCCCTCCATTTTTAGACACATTGTCTTATTTGATTTTTACTGAAATGGGTGTTTTCTTTTCAGCCTACCTTGAAGAATTTGACACTCTCAAAGCTGCAGCTCCGATAGAGGATGGAATCAGCTCTGGTTTGAGCCAAGCTTTGTTGATGAGGAGGATCCATACCATCCCTTCTGTAGTTTGAATCTTCAAATGGTTTTCCCCAAGTGGATTTCTAACATCAAAGCAGAATAGTACAGAGCTACCATGGTGGGCAGAGAGATGCCCAGCCTCAAACAACAGGGTAGCAGAATGTGATGGCCCCAGCTGAGTCCCCATGTGCACACATACCTTCAGCAGTATGTTGGAGGAAGCCCCATGGCTCCAGTACTCCGGCTGCCTCTATAAATAGAGGATGGAGTTTCAGTCTGCAGAGGTGACCATAGAGGCTGGACCAGATACCACACACCTGTAGGCCCAATGACTTGGGAGACTGAGGCAGATGAGTTAGTGGAGCCAGTGGTCTGGGGCCATCCTGAGCATGGGAAGTGGGATGTCACACTGAGGCCCCACGAAGTTAATTGCTGCCTTAATTGGCAGATGGTTAATGAGAAAGTCGTAGCTACTGAGCAATGGGTCTCCCTGCTCTTAAGACAGCATTTTCTTTTGTTCAAGATGCACTTATATAAACTATTCTTAATATTTTTTCCTCCCTCCTTTCCTCCCTCCTTCCCTCCCTCCCTCCCTCCCTCGCTCCCTCGCTCGCTCTCTCTCTCTCTCTCTCTCTCTCTCTCTCTCTCTCTCTCTCTCTCTCTCTCTCTCTCTCTCTCTCTCTCCCTGGCTCGCTCTCTCTGCCTGGCTCCCTATATAGTCCTGGCTGTCCAGGAACTCACTCTGTAGACCACACTGGCCTGGAACTACCAACTGCCCCTGCCTACTAAGTGCTGGGATTGAAGGTGTGCACTGTCACACCCAGACTTTAATATCTTCTTTTAGTGTTTGGGTTTCAAATAAGAACACATGTATTCAGTTAAGTATAGGTTGGATCACCTTGTTTTATACTAAACAAACACATTTCTTCAGACGACAGCAGCAGCCACAGGCCTATACACTGGTGTGGGCTGGGCTCCATGCATGTGCTGGACTCGGATGAATCAGAAGCAAACACATGCTTCTCCTTTCTCCAGAGGGATTCTTTTAAACAGAAATAATTCCACAGTAAATAATTGGAAGCTGAACTAAACCTTTGGTCCAGTTTAATAAACACATTCACTCATTCCTCAACTGAGTTGAAAGGAAAGATGTACAAGTATGAGGAAAGACTGTTTCTTTGGGAATTTTAATTCTCCTAAAGTACAGGCTGGGTTAGAGAATGGCTTGTTGGTGTAAAGAGAATTTATTTTGCTAAGATGCCACTTGAATGTGTTTTTGTCTCTCAAGTATGTTTCCAGGCTGCTTCTCTGTGCAAAATAATGGGTGTCCCCACCCCCACCCCCACCCCCCATGCCTGGAAGCTCTTCAGCCTCTTAGCTGGCTCCGTTTACTTCTGTGTTTTCTTGATGGAGGCAATGAGTCCTTAACTAAGTTAATAACAGAGTGGGAACAGGTTCTGGCCCTGTGCCAGGCGATTATAACCAGCAACGCCAAACAGCTTCCCGACAGCAACATCTACCAGCTGAAGGTGCTGGACTGTGCCATGGATGCCTGCATCAACCTGGGGATGCTGGAGGAGGCACTATTCTATGCCATGCGCACCATGGAGCCGTACCGGTGAGTGCAAGGCAGGGCTGGGACCCAGCTCTCTCCGCTGTGGGCACAGAATGGGATGGCACTGAATGGGATGGCCACTGTTAAGTCATTCTGACTGATTTAAGACTGCAGTCTTATCAAGCATTCCCACCAACGTTTAGTGTATGAAACCAAACTTTGTCTCATTCATTCCTCTGTTTCTTCGCACATCCATCAGTCGCTGGCAAAGCTGTTTATGGGATCCTGGCACTGTTCTTGCTCAGAAGTGAGTTAAATACTGTTGCTATGTGGAATGGGTGATTATAAGACAGTGTGAGGCTTGCAGTGCAGGGACAAGCAGGGAAGGGCTGAAGAGGAGCACGTGGCTCAGTCTTCTCTTTCGATCATCAGTGCAGGTGAGGGAGGTATGATGCTCTTAGGTTGACAGTGGTGGTGGATCTCCTCTGTCAGAATTGATGTTTGTCAGAGAGCTTGTGTCTACAGTTGGTCCTTGTAGCCATCTTGTGACCAGGTAAGAGAATGGGAGACTACCCTTTTCTAGTGAATCATTGGATTAGAGAAGAAACTGTTGGTGAACTATGGGTAATTCATTACACTGTGTGTTGTGCATGCATTCGAGTGTGCATGTGCTTATGCATGTGGCCTGGTGTGTGTGTATGTGTGTGTGTGTTTGAAGGCAGGACCTAGCTCTGTGGCCCAGGCTAGCCTCCAACTTGTGATTCTCCTGCCTCAGCCCTCTTGCCCTCTTTCCAGTCCTAGCCTATAAGAATATGCCACCATACGCGATGGAGATTTACTTTTTCTTGCCTGTGCTAGTTCCTCCAGGTGTGTATGTGTTTGCTCCTAGGTGGTCTTGTAATGTGGAAGAGCTCTGACAGGAAAGGGAGGCTGAAGTCAAGTGCTAAAGGTTGGGCAGTGCAGCAACAGTTTTCCCTGAGTAAAGAAGAGAAATTGAGGCTGAGAACTAGCCAGCAGGGAGAATCCAGGGCAGATGAATAATCTGAGATCAGAGTTACCCAGTGCCCACCACAGGACAGGTCACCACAGTGAAGACAGTGGATACATGGAATATAAAGGGGATAGTGTCTGCAGAGCAGAACATCTTTCCTGGAAGATGTAAACTTCCTCATTCTACAGATGATGCATACACAGCCTAGCCAAAGAGGGTGAGGCATGGGAAGGATCCAGGTCTAACCTATGGGACATGGGACAACAGGTACAGGGAGTGGTTCTCAGGGAAGCAGGTGGGGCACTACCTGTCCCCACTGGAGGGGAGCCTTAGGTGACAGACAGCAGGGAGGGGAAATTACCTTGATCTGCATGTCAAGAACAGCAGCAGGTTTAGGATCTAGGCTGTCAATATCGAAAAAGATATTCATCCTGCATGACCCTAGGTCAGCAGTCAGATCTGGGTCAAAACTAGTTGTGAGCTTAGAAGAACCTGGAGATAGCAAGGCCCCTGTAAACAGGTAGGTGTCAGAGTCCCACAAGCCACCCAGTGGCTCCAGACCCAAGGGTGTTTCCAGACTTTGGCAGGTGGCTGCTTTTGTTCCCTTGTGGTGAACAGCTTTGAAACTGTCTGAGTCAGCTCTAATCTAACATGTAAGATGCTGCCTGGAGGGCTGAGACCAGAGACTTTCCCATGAGCAGTGGGATGTGTTCAGGGTGAGGAATCTTGTGGGTTTTCTGAAAGAATGAATTGAATACAGAGATAGGGCTGCTTTCTCACAGCCGTACTGAGTGTTGATGTGGCAGGCAGTCTGTGATGGTTGGCGCGGTCTCTGAAGGCTGGGGCCTGGCCTCAGGAGCCCAGAACACAGGCAGCACAGTGAATGGATGGACCCAGGCCAGGAGCTGCAGACTGAGAAATTCTGCCTCTCTCCAAGGCTCTGTGGCAGCAGCGGTTCCCGTCTCCTTGGCTGGCTGGCCTTTGAAGCAGATTCTTACCTCGTCATTCCTTTCTCTTTGACATCCAGGCTACCCTGCCAAGGCCAACTTGAAACAGCTATTAAAATTGCCCCACCAGTAAGCTCTAGCAGTCCTGACTGCATTTTTGAATCTTCTTTTGTACATGTGCACAGAGACTTCTGCGCAACACTGACTTGACCCCACTTAGCTGTCAGTTTGACAAACCAGTACTCAAGTCAAACAGAAACTTTCCTCATAGGTGAGGCTGAGTCCTCCATGGCATACTCCCTAGTGTGTGAGAAACTTTCAGTTACATTTTTGTGGCGTTGGCCAGTCCCATTTCCCCTGTAAATGTGTGTTTTGTCCTGTATGCAGACACAGGTTTTCAAGCTTGCTTCAGTCTCTCGTCCCTGGAGCTCTGAGGGATTGTTCTGCAGAGTGCTGCCCTGGCTCACTTCCAGTGAGGAGGACTTGAGCCATTTGCCATCAGAGGGACTGTAGAGCCAACACAATGAGGGATCTAGAACCGACACAGTTAAGAGGCCCGAGGAACATGCTTTGTCCCTTTCCTTTTAGCTCAGGACAAGTGAAATTGCGAGTACAGACCGATGGGTGAGATGCCCCAAGAGCCCCTGACAACCTTGGAGCAGGAAGGGAATGGGAAGCGGTGATGGCTTTCATATGCTGTCAGTCATCTACACACTGGCCTGTGGCTGCTCTAGGCCGGCCTTTGTTGCCACTTAGCCAAGGACACAGACAGTTAGTGAGGCCCGGGCTACTGAGCTGTGACTGGATTACCATCTGCAGGGATAATTTGACAATGTCAATGTGCTGTTTGCTGTGCCCAGATTGAGGTCAAGCCTCCACTGAGCACTTCGTCAGTCGTGACCTTGGGTAAGCTTGAACTGCTGACCTTAGAGGACAATGTGTCCAGATGCCATCTTTATCCTGCCCACTACCTTCAACCCCCGCTTTGTCACTCACTTATTTTTACCCAAGAGATCTTGCTTAACTTTATGGTGCAACTTACTACAGACCTTTTTTTTAATTATTATTATTTTATTAGGTCTTCCACAGACAAAATGTCTGTATACGTACCTCATTCTCTTAACAGAAGCATGCTGTGTCATCTCAGAATTGGGCCATAATTTTATCTCCAGTCTGTTCACTGCGTCAAGCCATTCTATGGTTCAGATCAAACCATTTGATTCCTCTTTGTGAGCTGATGTGGTCAGATCCACATGTCATAGTGTACAAATTCCTAACTGCTGCCTGCTCTATTTAAAAACATGCTCATTTTAAATTTGGGTAGCTGTCATCCCCAAATTGTACCCTACCCACTACAAGGCCACTTGGTCCTCAAGGGAATATGAAAAAGATGAATCTGTTCATGTGTCATTGTCATCATCATCATCATCATCACCATTATCATTTAGTAGTAGTAATAGTAGTTGTCCTGATCTAAATTTATTTCAGAATATATCAGGGCTTCTCCATCCCCTTAATCAAAGCCTAGGATGAGATTTGTTGATATTCATTTTGGTCATAAATAGTACTTACGTGCCCCTGGAAGTGACATGGTGTGAGTCACCTGGGAGCAATGCAGAGAAGAAGCAATGGGAAGAACACTGGAGGTCTGGGCACAGATGCCCATGGTCCTCTGCCCTTAGAGAACTGAGAGAAAGGAGGTGTGCTGGGGAGAGAAAGTCAAAGGAACAGGATTCCAGTTGTCTGTCCTTTCTTGTCGGTGAGAATGGGTTAGGAGGAGAAGAAAAGTATAGCTGGGACCTGGCGGCCATGACATGTTTACAATTCAGGAGGTATCTCTAGTCCAGAGAGCACTGGCATTGAGTTGCTGTGGTACCACCTGCCATTTTGCTAGTCCTTTTGTGACCAGCCCATCACTTATGGCTTTTCTCAAGACTACAGTTAACTGAGAGCCGTGGGAGATGGCTGGACCAGTGATGGATATAATTTTCTCCTAGGATCAAGTGCTTTTGTTTCCTGTGATTCATTGACTGACTGATCTTAACATTTCATTCATTGTTCTGTCTCCTTAAAGCCTGATATAGACAGGACTGTCTAAAGCTAAGACCTTCCCTATAGCATTGCTGGCCCTAAATATAGACAGCACTGTCTACAGCTAAGGCCTTCCCTATTAGCACTACTGACCCTGAATACCAGTTTGACATCAGTCTGCTATGCTCTGATATAACCTAGTAAATTATTTCATGCAGGATGCCTTAACAACATGTTCTCATCATGTTCCCCTATGGCACCCCTCTGTACAGAGGTGCCCCAGAGGTTTTTCTATCTGTCTCAATCTCTTTTTATAAAGCTGCAGATTGGATTAGGGCCCACCACAAAGGCTTTATTTTAACCCAATTACATCTTTAATAACCCTACCCCCAAATGCTGTCTCATTTTGAGGTCTGTAAATAAGGGATTATAGAAGGATTAGAGGTTGGCCCGTAGTCTTGGCAGTCTATATTCAGCTTAAACACTGCCTCCTCCCTATTTGTAAAAATTACCCATCCCAAGGATTGGTCCCTCTGCATCTATTTTTTTATGAGTGTGGGCCTAGTAGAAGTCCCCAGTCATTCTTGGAAAAAAAAAATAGCCTTCTAGCTTATAGGGCTTCTATCTGAGTTCAGGAGCTCCAAGGGTATGCTGCAGCCCTTGCATGTGTAGGAGCAACTGGGTTCACCCTGGAGACTCCCTTCCTAACAAGCCATGTAGACACTAGCTGGCCAAGGAAAGAAGCCAGCACCTTCACCTACTGCCTGACCCCAGCTCAGGTCACTCATGTTCTAGGACAGTGTCTTACTGCTAGTTCTGCTACTTCCTGTGCCAGCTCATGCGGCAGACTACAGAACCCTGTTATTTGCCTGTCTGTCTTGTCTTGGTGGGCAATTTTTCTTTCTGGCATTCTAGTCTCTATGCTGGGTCAAAGATCCTAATGCCCCTTTCCTTCAAATTCTACCACAGTGGACAAACTCCCACGAAGAAAGCCATTCTCCACCCTTGGGGCCAAACCACTGGAAACTTGTTTTGTGTTCAGCCATGTCTATGAGCAGTGTGTGTGCTCTGAAAAATTATCTCTGGGCTTCCTA